ACTACTACTACTACTACAACTACGAGCACCAACACCATAACTGTTGCTCGTACCTGTATGTTGGCATGACGCCGAGGAAGGCGACGGCTCCCGATTGTTTATTCCAACTCTGCAATGCTATTTGATCCCGAACCCTGCGCAGGATCTGAGCTTCTGGCATGCTGAATCGAGGCCGGGCTAGTCTCCTGTTGCGACCCTCTGCTCAACAAGCACAGGAGCGAAGTCTGCTAGATCCGCACTTCCACAGTAAACTAGTACACACTCCGAAATTTCTTGCAGGGTCCGTGCAGTCTCTTGTCTCTTGGACTCCCCACCAGGCGCACGGTGGGTGACGTGGAGCCACGGGAGTCCCGGGAATCGAGGCGCTTCCGGGTCTTGCCTTCCAGGAGCTCCAGGAGCCGAGAGGAACTTGGGGACTCGGAGTAGCAGCTACTGGCATTGGTATAGCGGAGTTCGCAAGGCGAATGAGTCTTCATGAACGGCTGTATGATGCTGCATTGCTATGGATGCATAAAGTCTGGGTTTGCTTGACACTGCCGGGTAACTAGGCTCACCCAATACTGTGCGCGTTGAAAGTACTTGAGACCTTCCTTGCATGTGCCTGAGCAGAAGCCGCCGCAATCTGCCAAGGCCTCCGCGATGCAGAGTTGCTTAGAGAAGAGCTGGTGGATCTTTGACGATTGCTACTGTCTTGCCGACGATCGTACTGGATTGCTCTTCGACTTTCGGGGGCTGATGGTGGAGGAGACAGAGTTTAGGAAGGTACCAGTCTGCACGTTGCACGACACTCAAGGATCATGTGTGCTCTTTGTCCAACACGGTTACAGCAGCGCTGCAGTAGGCTACAATTACATACTATTGTGATCGTATAGGAGTTCTGTGATACCTTCTCAATTAGAGCAATACGACAGTCGTGCAATCGTCATGCACAGTATTACAAAGCTCGATGCTCTTTCGCTTGAACACGAACAAGGTCTTCTCAGATTCTCTCTGAGTTGTACATACGCAGAAGCTTCGAAACCCCAGAACCCCAAGCGCAAGTACCGCGCTAGCAGCTTTGTTCCAATGTAGTCAACATAGAAGCAGAATCATTGTGCGCGAACCGTCTCTAGGAGGCTGCTGTGATCGGGCGACTCGACGGATTTATTGCAGCCAAGGGGCCTTGGCCAAGACCTCGGAGGGCACCATGCCCAGCTGACACCCAGTGATCGCCAGCCTGCTCGGTACGGTCTGGGTTGAGGGCTTAGGGCTTTGGCATGTAGGGTGGCCTTTTTGAGGGCACTGTTGTTTTTTTTTTCCGGCTTTGGGACTGGTTAATTGATTATGGGGTGGATGAGCCTTTTTACAGCTTCAGATGCACTGAGCATGCTTGGTCCATGAGGATGACGATGTGGAAAACTCACTATGCCAGAGGTCTGACGTCTTGTCGGCTACTGAAGCATTTCTGTGTTTGATGGTTTGAACATGTCTGAACAGGATTCGTCGCGCGAGATTCCCACATCATCATCGTCTGGCCTGTACCACATCGTCCGAAGCCTTCGGCACTTCGAGAGCCGAACGACCTGATTCTTATGACAGTGTAAGCGCCGCAGGGCTCTCTGTCTTACTAGAAACAGCTTTAAGATTCACTCAGCGGTCTAGAAAATGAGAGCTCAGGGCTGTCCGAGGCTTCACAAGTAGAGTGACCCAGGAGAGTCCAACACCACCCTGGAATGTCCATACCTATATATTACCATCCCATACCTCACAGAAACCACAGAGACCAAGCTGGAAACTGATCCGAGCGGCGATTGCGGGGTCAGTCCCACGGTCATGATAGCGGGAACTCTTCGAGTCCTGAGCTTCTGCGCTCATGTCGCGAATGTGCCTTAGAGCGCCGCTGAGGCGGTGGCGGGAGACGACAGGCCTTTCGGAGAGATGTCCACCTGAAAAAGGCACACAAACACTCCCGCTTTCCCCTTATCCCTTTTTCGTCCATTTCCCCAGTCTCTCCCTCTCTTTTCAGCTCTCTGTAATTTCAGGGCATGGAGCTTCCTGCATGGCTGCATCCAAGGGGCAGGGGAGAGGTCGTGGGACCGATCCTGGTGCCGGCAACTGCGTGAGTCCTGAGAAGGAAATGTCAGGTGTTAGATTGTCGCAGACATCTGCAGACAATGTGCAAGTATGTACAAGTGTGAGGACTTCCGATTAGCTCCGACATCAGCCATGTCGTCGCTAGCGATGCTAGCGGCTAGCGCAATCGAGCTTGTGTCAACAGCAACCTGCAAGCATAGTGTATCAAGGCTCCCTCTCTCAATGAGTTGCGAGTTGAAGCGACGGCATTTCTCTGACCGTCTGACCTGTCATCCGCATGAAATCCCACCAAGTGTACATATTCCGACAGCGTGGACTAAGCAGCCCCCGGCAGAGAGAAATACGGATCCTTCCTGCTACCCAGCCCTTTTTGCAATGCCTCCTCTGCATGACTGGGAACAGCTCGCGGCTTGGAGGCCTCGAACAGGTGAGCGTCATGGCTCAAGGCTCTCCAGTAGGTTGCATCCGAGGTATTTTCTGTCGGAGGGAGTGAGGGGTGTAACGACACAGGTAGACGGGCTCCAACCTTCAAAGTCTTGGCGAGCAATGCGCATCTGGATATGGATTTGCTAGCTCTGAGTGTCGACCGAAATTCACGTGTTTGCATCGAGCTATACACGTTTTGTACAGTGGACCGGTTTCGGGCCGGGCACTTCGAACAACAGTGCCTTTTGTGATGTTACGTTTGGAGCGCTGCATTGCTCTCTGTTCTTTCCTCCATGCTACACCCAAATCCGACGACGGCACAATGCAGTAGGCGCTCTATTATCCTCCATCGGTGAACCGAGAAGCCTGTTAAAGATGTGGTCTCAGGGGTTTGGGTTTACACTGCCGAAGACGACATGCAGCAAGCCTTCAACATCCAATACTCTTCAACCTCCGCCAAGTAATGCAGCACCTGCCACCAGCGTTGCAACACGGCTTGGTTGCACGCACATGCGGATCTCTGGCGTGGGAAACGGGGACGCACTCAGCTTCTCAGGTGCGCCACTTCTCACCCCAAACTCATGCAGTCCTATGTGCGAAAGCCCGACCCCTGTGGGACTGTTGCGCGCTGATCCCTTCCCCCAC